TTCCCCAAAGCAAGGAAAGGAGTTAGCGTAGGGCAGAGCGACGAATTACTACCACGACTCATAAACCCAGCTGCATTTCCAGCCGGAAAACGATTCCTCTGGCTGCTCCCAAATCCCTTTGACTGTCATTCCCAGCAGATGGCACTTGGCTGCAGGGACGCCTCCATCCAGCGTGGTGTGGAGTGACTCAGAAAACGTCAGAGCAGCCAAACTCTTAAGAAAAACGTTAGGAAAAAATCTAGTAGAGAATCAACTCGGGGTGTGTGTGTGTGTCGGGGGAATAACCTTTTCTCTTTTTGACCAAAATGTTTTTACTCCCATGGGTTGGTGCCGCTCTGGTAGCCGGTTGGGAGCTCAGGATGCTGTCGTGGGACCCGGGGGGTTACGTGGGCCGTTGTACTCGTGCTTGTTTGAATGGTTGTTTTTAACACAGTCATCAGCCTGGAAGAAGCAGGAGCAAGCGGAACTGCTAATTATTTCACCTTGGAGTATGATGGAGAGTGCGCTTCCCAAGGGGCTGTGAGAGGGCAGACAGACAGAGTGCCATTTTAATGTGCTTTTGATATATCAGCGGGTGACACCAGCTCAGCCATCTCCTGATCCACACTTAATGCCTGTGGCTGTTCTGTTTAAAGAAAGGGAGGAGAAAGCAGGTCTCTCTGGGTCGGGTTCCAGCTGTGGAGGCAGTGTTATCCAGGTGGCACCACGCCAGGGGCTGAGGTGGGAGAGGAGAAGGTCACACTGGGTGAAAACCACCTTGGAGGTCTGTTGCCTTTCCCTTAGGCTTGGACCTGTCCCAGACATCGGGGACTCCTGTAGGGAAGGAACTGCTGCCTCCTTTGGGGCTTTCAGTGCCTCCTGGGCTGCTCTAGGTTGAAATCTCTCATTGTCTGTTCATACTCTGTGGGTAGGCATCCCCTTCATGGATGAGAAAGTGGCCAACAGTGGTCCTGCAGTAGGAGGCCTGGCCTGTGCCAGGACCAGTGTGGCCAGCAGGACTGGGGCAGTGGGGGTGTCCCTGTGCTGGGCACTGGTGAAGACCCAACGCGAGTGATGGGCCTGGAGAGGGTCCAGAGAAGGGCAACAGAGCTGTGAGGGGTCTGGAGCACACATCTGATGAGGAGCGGCTGAGGGCCCTGGGGGTGTTCAGCCTGGAGAAGAGGAGCTGAGGGGAGACCTTCTCGCTCTCTACAGCTCCCTGAAAGGAGGGGGCAGCGAGGGGGGTCGGTCTCTGCTCCCAAGGAACAGGCGATGGGACAAGAGGGAACGGCCTCAAGTCGCCCCAGGGGAGCTCTAGCTTGGGTATCAGGAAAGACTTGTTCACGGAAAGCGTTGTCCAGCACTGGAAGAGGCTGCCCAGGGAAGTGGCAGAGTCGCCATCCCTGGAGGTGTTTAAAAGACGGGCAGACGTGATGCTGAGGGACATGGTTTAGTGGTGGCCTTGTCAGGGTAGGTTGATGGTTGGACTTGATCTTAAAGGTCCCTTCCAACCCAGACAATTCTATCATTCTAAGAGGGCCTTTTGTGATGAGCCCATAGCTGTGCTTCTTCTAAGGGAACAAAGTCTTTTGCCACAATGCGTTTCACAAACCCATTAGCGTACTAACAAATGTATGTGGCCTCAGGGCTTTCTTCTGGAGGACCCCATGTTCTTAACCTGCAGTTGGTTGCAGATAAGTACGCAAATCTTGACTGTAAAGCGAAGCTGTTGGCTATTGATTGCTTACACCAGCTGGGCCACGTGGGGTCCACAGCGTGCTGACAGTCAGAGCCAGGTTTCAGAACGGGGTGCCTGGGTCATTCATGTGTAGCAAATCCAGGCTGACTGTAGAAAAAACATCACTAAATTAGATGGAGGTTTGGCAACAAGCGTTGTTTTAATACCGGTCTGGACATATCTACGTGTGTGTTGATGCACGGGGAGGGGGGTGTATGTGTGTCTGTATCTCTGTATGTGTATGTCTATGGATATAGAATCTTTTAGAGGTGTCTTCCTCATAAGAGTGTTTCTAACTACAGGATTCTGCATTTTAACCTTTTGGTCAATTTGGGAAGTTTATACGCAGAGTCAGCCAAAAGGTGATAGTAAAAAAACCCCAGGGATTTCTTACACCAGTTCTTGTGGTTAGTTTGCTACATGCTGTGCTCATTTCCTGAAGAAAATAAGCCCGAATGCGGTATTGTATGGTCCCGTGAGTCTGACAGTGACGTTTCACTTTCTAGGTAAGACTGGGTGGAAGTTCCTGTAAACGGGAAAGCAGAGAGTCGGTTGATTGTGTGCAAATCAGATAACGACTGTCCTTGAAAACACCACACTTACTCACACCAGTTGTCCCGGTGTAACGGCGCAGTAGGAAACACGCAGTGGCCGGTCCCGAATGAACACGTGCCATAACGCGTGGCTCTGGGCCGGGATTCGGTTCGGCGCATCCCGCTTGGTGGTGGTGGCACGTGCTGACGGTGGAGCAGGGCGGCAGGAGGAACCCGGAGCTCTCTTCTGCTGTTATCAGGGCAGCCCCAGCACGTCCACGCTCCTTATCAGCCCCGGCAGAGCTGTCCCTGCCGCCCCGAGCCACCATACATCCTGCCTCCGCGGCTATAGGGGCCGGCTCTGCTGCCTCCCCTTTGCGCCTAAAGAGGGGCTGCGACCCGCGCCCTGACACAGGTGAGGAAGGCGGGAACGGGCTGCGACAGGCGCCGCGGGGAGAGGCGATGCTGGACCTCATTGTTCTGAGCCTCCACTTCTTCATCTGCTTTCTCATCTCCGTGGCCATCTGGCGGGGGCCCAAGGTATGGTGGCGGCTCGCTGCCGCGCTGCTCTTGGTGGCTCTGCACACCCTGCGGCGGGATGCGGTCCCCCTGTGGTCTCAGCGCGTGCAAAGAACTTTTTTAGCCTGATTTTTCAGAGGGAATGTGGGAACGCAGAGGGGACTGGAGCGCAGTGGCTAATGGTAAGCAAATTTAATAGGAAGGCAGGTTTTGCGACAAAATTACTCATGTCCTCTGCTGGGAGAGGGAGAGGGTGTTGGACGTTTCAAATATGTAGGAGGAGGAAGGGAAAGGCAGACACATTTGCTAAAAAGGCCAGGTTGAATATCGCTTCTCAAGAAACAATTTTTTTTTCCTTTTGCAGACAGTATTTTCAGGTTTTTATCAACTTTCATCAGTTTGTGTTTCTAGCCATAGTATTATTTAGGGAGTATTGGATTTCCATGTAAATGCTGCTCTTCTGCCATCGCATAGCTAAATAGTATAGTATTTTACAAGCAACAACCTTGTACTATTTGTCATATACCTTTCCAGGGGATATGGCGATTGAAGTGCAGTGTAAATGAATAGTGATTTAGAATTTATCTTGCCTCAGCCTCAGGTATCAGGTTTGCAGCAGCTGTTTTTCCCAGTCCCAGTTCTGTTAGTGAACACGTTGGGCAAACTTTATCACCACACGCCTGTGCTTTTTGCTTTTTGCTTTGGGTGCGTGTTGATAGTCTTTTACTAAAACTTCTGCTCCTTTCATCTCACCTGTTACACGGGTCAGGTGTTCTCTGGGACTGAGACCATCCATTCTACACACAGAAATCCAAACATGCTTTTATAAGTGGCTTTTTGATTTTTTTTTTTTTTTTTTTGTGGTTTAAGGATGTGGATTTGCCCAGCTCAAGTACAGGCACAGTTGAAGAGGAGCCAGATGGTCTTATATTAATTGGCAAAGAAGATGACATAAAGAAATCCCAAAGGATTACAGCCAAAGTCAATGGCAGAGAAATTGTTGTTTTCTACCATGAAGGGAAATTTCATGCTTTGGACTCTCGCTGCTACCGTAAGATATTTGCACATATGATCTCAATGTTGCAACAATTAAGCATAAAATCTGCTGCATAAATTAATACCATGTTCTACCGTGTTTCAGATGAAGGAGGCCCTTTGCGTCTTGGAGAAATAGAGGTACGTAAGCAAAATAAAAATAGTGTAGCGGCATAGAGTCATGTGAAAACACTAATGCATTTTTGGAATACTTTTATCTGAACATAACATAAAAAGAAATGGATATATATGTAAAATAGCAGACAGCCATACAGCCAAATCGCCAAATGTCTTTTGCCCTAGAGATTCTTCCAGGAGAAGAATCAGAAGCCGGTGACTTGCTATTTTTATCTTCTTCTTGCAGGATATTGATGGCCAAGCATGTATCGTTTGTCCTTGGCATAAGTATAAAATCACTTTGGAAACAGGAGAAGGATTGTATGAAGGAATAAACCCTCTGGAGCCAACACCAACGCCACAGTGGCAATCAAAAGGAGTGAAACAGAGGATTCATAAAGTCACAATAGACAATGGAAACGTTTATGTGAGTCCTCCAGATCTGTCTGTAAGCTTTGACTCCGATTATTTTGCTGAGAAGTACAAAAATAGTGGTGATTTATCCATGGAAAAACAAAGCAACTCACAAGCAGCAGAGTAAGGCATGGCCAGAAGGCAGAATCTGGGTGAATGCCGCAACAAAGAACCATTGCCGTGAAATAGAAATGTACCGTGGCCGTGAAGATTGTCTCCAGATTAGATTAGAGTGTTAATGTTATCTTAAAGCATTGAAACGCGTAGAATTGAGTAAGATAAGAAGCTCTGCATGTCAGAAATATGACTGATCTTGTGCCAATGATTTTTTTTTTTTGCATTTGCATTTCAAAAAGACTTATGTACAGCAGAGTGCTTCATAATACTTGGTATTTTAGAAATCCTATTTTGCTAAAATTAAGTTTTAGGAGGGAATGTAGTATGTTACTGCTTATAAAACACATTACATAGTTTAAGGTTAATAGGTGTAAAGGTTATGCTAATATACTTAACAGTTTACAGGTATACTGCCTTTGGTATAAATAACATGGAAATTTTCAGCTTTTTAGATATGTGAGCAATCTCTGTATGTTGATTAAGTGCCACAAAGAGAAGCACAAACTTGAGCATATTTTAGTGACCTTCTTTATACATATTTGTGTATTACTACCGTGATTCCATAGAAATATTTCTTTTCATTCCCCTCACTGAACTCTTTTTGGTAGTTCACCAAATCATGTGACAAGCGTTTGTCATGTGTAGCTTGTTCTTCCTGACTCTGTTGGATAAGGAAGAAACCGTTGGGTATAAAAACCTGATACATAACGCAGTGGCTCTTATTTGGTTTTATTTATCGTCGGTACATTTTTATACATTTATTTGAAAAAGCGTGCTTTCAGTTTAGAGGCAAAAGTTTGGTTTCTCTATGTGCATTCACTGTATAGTATCAGATGTGCCCCGACAACCCCTCTGAGAAGACTTCCCCCGGCGCTGCGCTGGGACACGGTGGGCTCTCCCCATCCCGAGGGGTCCAGCCTGCAGAGATACCTGCCAGTGCTTAACGTCGTCTTGCGTGGCTGCGGTGGCACGGCTGCAGTTCTTTGGGGTGTGTTTTTTGGGTGATTTGTTGGCTGTTTGCAAAGTTGGGTGGTAATCAGATCCAGTTTGAAGTTTCCTGGTCTCTGTCTGTGAGTTTCTCGCGATGGTGCAGAGGGTTGTTTTGCTTTTAATGTCTGTGAAGGATAAGTTGGTATGTGTCAACACCATTGGTCATATAAACGTATTTAAAAGTAGCGAGGCATAAGGAAGTGTCAGAGGAAAACATCCGTGCCCGACTGATCACAGTGAAAAAACAAAGCACGCAATCAGTTTATTTCACCACATTTAAATTTAGACGCCCACCTCTGATCACACCTCCTCACACTGTTTTCATGGTCAACAGGGAAACGTGGCCCCTTCAAGGTGCTCTTGAGGTGAGTTTGGCCTTCTAGAAGAACTACAGCACAGAAATGCTTTCCTCCTCCTTCTCCTCCTCTTCCTCCTCCTCCTCTTCCTCCTCTCGCTGACCGCTCACCCAGCCAGTGCTGGCGAGATCAGACGCGGATGCCGCCTTCTGCCAGATGAATCACATCTTGATCATCTGCTAGAAAATGCTGTGACGTAGGGACCAGTTCCGTGGGGGCTTTTGTTTGTTTGTTGGTTTGTTTTCTAAAGGAATACTCAACCTTCTCCCCTTGCAGCCAGAGGGCGGATGGCCGGAGGGTGAGGAGGTGACAGAGCCGGTACTCGGGTACTCTGAGGGGCCTGGACCGCGCATCCCTTTGGGATGCGGAATTGCTTCTCTCCCCTCCCTTCTCACGCTGCTGCCTGCGCCTGCGATGAAACCTAAGCATTCATGTCTTGTCCTGTTGAAAGACGTGGATGATATAAAAGAAAAGCGTTGTAAGGTCTTCAGATATACTCGCATTGAGTCATGTAGATACATAGGTAGTATTTTTATTGCTTTTTTTTAAAAAAAAAAAAAAAGTCCTATGTTAATAGAAATTGACTATTTAAATTAATAAAGATGCAGTTCAGCTTAAGAAAGTGCCAATTATGAGTAATACGCTGTTGCCTGTGTGACATTTAGTAGAATGTTAGTAATAGGAAGTTTTACTTGAAAGTTTCACGAACACGTTCGTATTAGTGGAAGAGTGCTGAGGCTTTTGCAGAATTGAATTTTCTGGCTAAAATCCAGCAAAGTGTTTAATCATATGTTTACTGTTAATCATATGAAATCAGTGGAACTTTGTGTCCAGGCTTAGATAAGTCCCTTTCCTTCAGTGCTTCTCAAGGACAATAACTATCTGCAAGCCTCTACGGTGTTTTTGCTTTTAGTTTAAACGTGTTCTTATTCGCAGGGAGATCACATTAACTTAATATCTAAAGTTTGTCAGTTAGTTTGCTTTCCCCTCAATTTTCTTGTTGATGATCACAGAAGGAACAGAGAATTATTAACTCCAGTGGCTGTGAACAAAGCAGGGAGAGTTAGCTGGCTGTTAGATTTCCTTTTTTTTCTTTTTTTTTTCTTTTTTTCTTTTCTTTCGCCCCCCTTTTTTTTTTATTTTTTGACAGAAAAGAACAAAACCTGCAGCATGTTAAAGTTTCTACCTTTAAAAAAATACATGCACTGTTCCGTTTTATTTGTCTGAGCTTGGAAGTGCTGGAATATGTACCTAATTTGAAAATGCCGTAACCATTTAAAGTCCTGGAGCCAGACATTTCTAAGTCTCTTGTCCTGCCAGCCCTTTCTAGGTCTGTAGTTACGCAAATATAGCTTGTGAAGACATGAAAAACACGGGGGTTATCCCGAGAGGGGGCCAGTGAGGAGATTGGTGGGGGGGTGGAGGGGAGCACGGGGGACCTCGGCTGGGACGGGGGAACGGGGAGAGGAGCAAAAGGGGTTGGGGTGGGAACCAAGAGCCACCCAGGGAGGGGGTGGTGTGGGTGGGGGGTGGCTGAGAGGTGGCTGTTTGCAGTTAGAGACGAATAGCGGGATAAGGAGGGAGGCGAGGAGCCGTTGAGTTAAGGCAGTCAGACTGAGGTGGCATTTAAGGGACAATGAAGAGACAGAAGGAATGAGTAGCTGTGGGCAACAGACCAAAAAGTCACTGGCTGGGTAATTAGAGCTTCCTGGAGAGATGTGTTAATGAGAGCGATATTAAGATCAACCCTCCTAATCATTCAGGAGGAATGTTTTGTTGGTGATAGTTTGGGGGGTTTAGTTTAATTTGACAAATGAGCAAACACCATCTGTTTTCCCATCATTAATCAGTCAGGCAAAGAACAGAGAAATATATTTTGTGCTTTGGCTTGAAAACACTCATGATGACTCCGCGAGACATTCAGGCTCTGTAAGCTGCTTTCACAAGCAGCTTGAACAGAATAAACAGGTTATATTTATCCTATCATGGAGACATCTTTTTGAGAAAGACAGGCAAAAACTATGACTGTAGTAGTTTGAACCGCAGCTTGAGCCTTGGCCTGCTATAGCTGCACCATAAACCTTAATTAATAAAAACCTTATTAACTGTAAGTCTGGGTGCTGTATGCTTTCCTTTCTGCATGTAGCACCTTGCTCTGCAATGTCCCCTTGAATTCATTTGGTGCTGCGTGTGAAAAAAGGGACAGCATTAATGTAAAAAAGTGTTATAAACTCAGGGCTGAGAAGCTTTTGGACATGCTCCAGGTGGAGCACGTACACAGGTGAGAGCAGTCTTTGCAGGACAGGAGATGACACCAGGCAGGGAAAAGTACCTAGTCTGTCGGAAAACAATTTTAAAACCAACCTTTCACTCTCGAAGCTGTTTTCAATGGCATCGTACAGTTCCGAATTTCAGGCTTAATCTTGGAATGAAACCTGCTCAGAAGTTTGCACCTGCTCTTGCTGGTATGGTTGGGAGAAGTGGTTCACGTCGTTCCCTCTGCCGATGGCACAAGCGCGGGCAGCCAGAGTCAGCACCCACCGGTTCCCAAGCGTCCCATCGCTCTGCCCACCCGCCTTGGCGGCTGCTTTTGGGGGACGCCGGGGACGGGGAATAGAAATCCCACCGCTGGAGAGGTACTTGAGCCTCTGGCTGCGTGTGGGGAGAGGGGATGTGTTTGTGGGGCACATCCCTTCGCTGGCAGTGCCGTGGGAGAGACGGTGCCACAGCGGATCTGAGCGGTGGGGGCTTCCCTGTCCCAGCCGCATCGGAGGCACCCGGGGTGAGTGGTTTTGTGCCGGGCCACCAAATCCATCTGAACCGGCCCCGTGCCGGGGCCACGGGGCTGCAGGAGGAGCCGGTGAGGATTGACGGGGGGTGGTGGGTTGGGTCAGTTCCTTGAACTCTGTCTAGCAAACATCATTTTTTTTATGTGGCATTTGTTCATGCAATCCTGCTGATTTCATTAAGGGGATTTTTTTACTTGAATGAGGACAGTTTTCAACATCCAACATCTATAAATTGCCAAACAAGGCTAAAAGTGAAAGTGCCAGTTTTGCCTGTAGGCACACAAAATGAAGAACTGATGCAGATATCCTGATGAGCCCTCTGATGACTCTTCCATGCCCTGACAAGCACTGGCTGTGATGCTCAAACAAAGGGATTGTTCTGCTCGAAGAGGCGTTTGGGAAGTACGGTGTGCTGCGGCAAAGCGTGGTAGTCAGAAATGCAAGGCTTGGGAAGGAAAGACGATTCCAGAAATAATTATCCTGTGTGAAAGTTATGGTAAAATGTGAGCTATGTTATTTTAAAAAGTTGTAATTCATGTAACTCTTCAGATTGCAACGAACAAGTGAAATTATTTTGTTTGTGGCTTTCCATGTGTGCTCAGCGTTTTGCCTAGACTGTGAGTGACCAAGGACCCAGAGATTACAGACAAACGTTATATCTTTTTATTAGGCCAGCCACTGTATTTGGAAAAAATACTAAATCTTTTAGGCACTGCAGTAGGGCTGTACTGCCTGAAGGATTTTCCGATGTGTTTATTTTTTATATATGAGTTGTTTAATAGGAAATATTACCCCTGCTTGCAAATGTCCTGCCTTGACTTTCATTAACCTCCAAGATGCATCCTGTCCCCATTCAAGTACCATATGTTTTATTACAGTGCATCCTGAACATCCTGAAAAAAATTGCATGTTTATTCAGCACCGACAGCGCCAGGGGAAACTGCATAATTCTGTAACTGCAGTTTGGCCCAGGAAAATCACAGAAGAGCAGTGCAGTGGTTGCCTTCCCCTATATAGGTTATATGGCCCTGCAGTGTTCCCGGCACTATTCTGGCTTAGCACCCAAGAAACCGGCACCGTCGTCTGAATCTGGAATGCAATAGCTGTTCAGGATGAAGAGCAGCTCCCAGGGGGCTGTGTCACCTTGCAGCGCTCAGGGTACTTTTCATGAGACTCAGCACTGAAAGAAAACCTGAAGCTCGATGTCAGTTTGGAGATGCAGGTGTTCATGTGAATTTTCATTACCAGTTTGGATCCTCCAGCATGTGCTAAGCAGAAAGGAGGCCTGATGTTCACTAAATTCATGTGCAGGGTCCTGCACCTGGGTCAGGGCAACCCCCAGTATCCATACAGGCTGGGGATGGGGGGATGGAGAGCAGCCCTGCCGAGAAGGGCTTGGGAGTGCTGGGGGGGAAAAGCTGGCCATGAGCCAACAGTCATAGAATCATAGAATGGTTTAGGTTGGAAAGGACCTTGAAGATCATCGAGTTCCAACCTCCTGCCCTGGGCAGGGACACCTCCCACTAGACCAGGTTGCCCAAGGCTACGTCCAGCCTGGCCTTGAACACCTCCAGGGATGGGGCCTCAACAACCTCTCTGGGCAACCTGGGCCAGTGCCTCACCACCCTCACAGTGAAAACCTTCTTCCTAATGTTTAATCCAAACCTGCCCTCTTCCAGTTTATAGCCATTCCCCCTCGTCCTGTCACTACATGCCCCAGTAAAAAGTCCTTCCCCAGCTCTTCTGTAGCCCCTTTAGGTACTGGAAGGCCGCAATAAGATCTCCCCGGAGCCTTCTCTTCTCCAGGCTGAACAGCCCCAACTCTCTCAGCCTCTCCTCATAGGAGAGGTGCTCCAACCCTCGGGTCATCCTTGTGGCTCTCCTCTGGACCCACTCCCACAGGTCCATGTCTTTCTTATGTTGGGTGCTCCAGAGCTGGATGCAGTACTCCAGGTGGGGTCTCACGAGAGTGGAGT